AAAAACATGCATGGGTAAGCTAGGTAAAATAAACAACCCTCCGATACTCGGTTAGGAACTAAGTTCCTGACTTCGTATTTTACTTGAATTGGCCGCTTGTAATTGGTATAGCTCGACCTGACCCATATACCATAGTTGCTTCATACATGTGTGCCTCGACCTTGCCCACACATGGGATCAACTAAGTCCTAAAGGAGAACAACACATTATCCACTCCAAGAGACAACTTCTCGAGGAGGGTTTTTCAACAAATTGGTCTCTTAGAGCACCACAACTAGCTCAATCTGCACAATGGGATGAGCAACTTCAAAAACGTCTCCCCTAGTCCTAGTGATCAACAATTCATCATCACAGTACAACAACAAAGTTATCATCTCATCAGTGCAGTTATCAGCTCATTTCAACTTTGTGGAAGGCTTTATGCACAAAATTTTTTGATGATGCTAAAGTGATTATAAAGCATTGAAGAAGAATCAAGGTTGAGCTAAAGCAAGTTGATGCAAGAACAAGATATCAAGTATTACATAGATAAGTCTTGTCAACTTAGCTAAAAATGTAAAAGAATCTTTTAGAATTGCAAGTATGTTTAGCCTTAAGAATAAGTTTTCAAAAACCTCAAATTAATCTCTTTAAATTTAAGCAAGTTTTGAATCTTTTGCAAGTAAATAAAAATGTTTTCAAAAGACTTAAACAAAAGCTTTAAAGAATAGTTCAAATCATTTCTTAAAATAAATTTGTGAAAGAAATTATTGCTATGAAGTTTTCTACATAAAAGTTTTTGAAACAATGCAACAATATGTTCTGGTAATCGATTACCAGCACTTGTAATCGATTACCAGCACTTGTAATCGATTACCAGGAGAGGGAACTTCAAAATTTGAATATTAAGATACAACGTTTTAATTATTTTGAAATTTATAACCGTTGTAATCAATTACCAAACCCTTGTAATCGATTACCTGTGTATCTTTTTAGAAGAATTCAAATAGTTACACCTTTTCATGAAAAGATACAACCATGGAACTTTTATCTATAAATATGGGTGATTTTTCTTTTAAAAGGTTAGGAACTCAAATGTGAAAAACGATTACAAAAACTTCTTGGCCATAATCACTTACAAATTATTTAAGAGTTCTTTAAGGATCTTCATCGTGTAATACCTACTCTTCAAGAGAGACATTTGTTAAAATTATTCTATCATTCAATTTGTAAAGGAGAAAGTGTTTTTCTCCTGGGTGTTTTTGGATCTCAACACAAGGAAAGAAAATTCCAAGGTGTTGGAGGATTCAAGTCTTGTAAGGATTACAAGGATAGTGAAATCTCAAGTGAGAGACTTCAGGACTGGATGTAGGCAGGATTGACGAACCAGTATAAAATCGAGTTTGCAAATCTTTCTCCTTACTCTTTTATTTATTCCTTTGATTGTGTTTAAGTAGTGTGCATCTTCATTCTTTACATATAAATTTATCTAAGGAATTGAATTTATAAGAAAGTAATTTGAAAAACTTTTAAAAGAGGAAAACATGGAAAACTTAATTCACCCCCCTCTTAAGTTATATGAGGCTACTTGTATAACAAACTTTAAACAACACAATTAACTCAATAGCTCAACAACTCAACTCACAAATTACAACTCAACCATCACAAAGTAACATATTTTCAACACATAGTGCAACATACAACTTTATAACAACATACAACTCTCATCTAACAACTTAGCAACATTATCATCATGCACTTCACAACTCTCAACTAGATCATCTCATCATATTTCACAACATATACATAGTCAACACATAACATATAACAACTTAATTTCAACATGCTTCAATAATATCATTTTTTTTCAACATATAATTGATCAACACACAACTCGTAAACAACTTCAACAACATACAACATATAAACAACTCCAACAACATGCAACATGTTCAACACATAATGTTCCTCATCATACCACATCTCTACAACTTATTCAATATCATTTAATCATAATACAACTCAACAACAAGCTTTCAACATACAACTCATCCATCATGTAAGCAACCAACTTAATTAGAAAAGAAATTTATTAAACTAAGTCTCCATGCTTAGCATAAAAACTCATGTTCAGCCTCAGCCTTCTAGAGGCACAACTCAGCTCTCACACTAAGCGCAAAATCCCACGCTCAACGTTAGCCTTTCAGAGGCATAACTCACTCTCATGCTCAATGCAAAATCTCACGCTCAATCCCAACTTTCCAATGGCACTCCCAAATTGTCACGCTAAGCGTCCCAAACCTAGAAAACTCATACCAACATATGAACAACTCAAATCTCCAAATCCTCTCAACCCATGAAATGATCAATACATGCAACCCAAAAACCTTCCAACACTAACATCATTCAACTCAGAAAATCCATGAAAAACAACATGCATCCACAAAAACTCAAAAAAATCATCACATTTTAACCTTACCTCAAGAACAACAAAAATCCCCAATTTTCAACATAAAACCCCCTTGAATCCACCCCACAGTTGTAGATTTCACAAATTTACCAACATTAACCTTCAATCCATTCATCAGCCCTATGTTTTGAACCCAAAATCCTAAAATCTCAACTTCCCTTACATCGAAGGAAGAAAAATCCGGCTCCGAGCTAAAGAGAAGGGAGAAGAAGAAGTGTCTGCATGACTCTAGGGTTAAGGAATGACTACGGAACTTCAACCATGACTTAGAGACTTCCTTGCACTCCAAAGGTTCAGCAACTTGTAAATGAGACCAACGTATCAACTTTAGCTAAGGGGTGAAGAGTGAAGGAAAGTGGTCAACAAGGAAGAAGGTTTAGAGGTTGGGGAGAAAATAAGAGTGAAGGGGTTTACGGGTCTTACAGGATCATTACACCCTCACTTGTTATAAAAAAAACAAAATCAATTTTTGGTGAAGTAAGGGGCACAGTTGTAGTTTAGTCAGTGATGATTACTAAAAGTTGATTCTTGTTATAATTGAGGGTGTAACTATCTAAAACTTGCGGAGACCGAAAACAAATAAGAAGAGATATTATATATAAATATATAAAGAAAATACTTCTTTTCGTAACTACTTTTGAACTTCGTAATTTTGGACAATTACACATTCACTTGTAATATATAAAAAAAAAATCAATTTTTGGTGAAGCAACTGGAACAACAGTAGTTTAGTCAATGGTAATTACTAAAAATTGATTTTTTTTAATAATTGAGGTGTAATGATCCAAAACTTGTGGAGACCAAAAATAATTAAGAAGAGATATTCATTTTAGATTAGCATGGAAGTATAGACCTTTATAAAAATATTGAGAAGTACAAACCTCTTTCTCCTAATAAATAATAAATAAAATTAATTAAAAATTTCTTAAAACTCCTTGTTTGTTGCATATTTCGATAAATCATATTTAAAATATAGGTTGGAGATTGTAAATTTGTAACTATGAGGCACACACCACAACAAAATGACGCGACATAACCAATGAACAAGACATTGCTTGAGAGAGTTTGTTGCATGCTCTCAATGTATGTTTCCCTAAGCAATTTTGGATTAAAGCAGTTAATATTGCATGTTATTTGGTGAACAAGTCTCCTTCAATAGCTATTGAAGGCAAGATTGAAGAAATATGATAAGACTCTATGAAAAATTATTCATTTTTATGCGTATTTTAGGTGTCCAACTTATGCTAATGTAAATGAAGAAAAGTTTGAACCAAGAACTAAGAAATGCATATTTTTAGGTTATCAAGATGTTGTAAACGGGTACAGGTTATGCGAGACCTTAAAGAATCAAAAATCCTGATTACTTTTGATGAGACAATCTTGCTTAACCCAAGATCATGTGAAGATCATGATAATAAAGTTAAATTTTATGGTGCTAGCAAAAAGATGGAACTTGAAACTAAAGCTTTTACAACAAAAATCAGAAGAGACACAAGATGAAGTAACGATAACAATCTGTGTATATATTGGCTGGAGAAAAGCTAAGAAGACAAACTAAACTACCTCAAAGGTATGAGGATTCTATTGCTTTTGCACTTATTATGGCAAAAAAACATTGATGAGTAGGGACCTAATTCATTCCATAAGACAATTAATTTTGATGAAGCATCACAATGGATTGGTGTTATGAAAAAAGAACTTGAATCCCTCCACAAGGATTAGACTTGGGAACTTATTTATGAAACCAATTTCATCCAAAAATTGTGGATTGCAATTGCATATTCAAGAAAAAAGATGAAGTAAGGTTCAATTAATTTAGGCTCTTTAGTATGAGATAATTGTGTTCCATAATATTATTTATCAAAAAAAATATATTCACCATTTTTCAAATAAATATTATTTCACTTCAAAATTTTAAAAATATAACAAATTTTAATCACATTCTTATCTGAACCAAGATCAAGAAGTGAGAGAGAGGGTGACCAACGAATGCTGTTAAAAGAAAAAGATAGATGAATATGTATTTTTATTATATATTATTTAAAAAATTCAAAATAATATTACCTCTCCATAATTTTCTTATCCCTACCAATTTTTTTTTTTTAAAAACCTATTCATAAATAATAAAATTATATAGAACTAACGAAAGTCAAACAAGATAAAAATTTAAAAATAATCTCAACATAAAAATGTTATTATTGCGTGCTTTGTCTTGGATATTATCCTCTTATTCAAATTGACTAAATACTTGTAATAACTTTGTAAAATCTATATTCTTACGTGTAATTGCGAATATTTAATAATCTTTTTATTTCTCTTCCGTAATAAAAAAAATTTCAGAAAAAAAGACAAGTGATAAAATATTATTAATATCTGCTGCTTACGCTCCAACTCATCGATTTACAAATAAAAATTATATATCGTTCTGTAAAATATGGATACCATATTTCCAATTAATAATTGAATAATTAAATTTCAAAAGCTCTATTTTAAAGTCATTAATTTAAAACGAAAATCAATATCCATATAAGATCTACAAAGGCATAAATAATTACTGTATATAACAATCATAAGCACGAAATGACATTGAAGCATCACCCTCCAAAAGTTCTAATGAGACCTAAACCAACATAAATTCCATTAACACCAATTTTTCACTTCTCTTAAATGAAAATATCTTTTCCTTAACATTTTCAAAATTAGACCTACATAATCCTTTAGTAACGGAGTATTTCACTGTCTCCAACACTAGAGCTTTTTCCAACACATGTTTAACAAAACGCATCTCATGCTCATCACCATTAAGTCTTCCAAATTGTACCACTTGAAGGTTAGATTCAAAACATGCAGGAACCAATTTGGGAACCAAAACCTCTTCCTTAAATTGAATTAACACCTGATAATCAGTCAAAAATAAATAATTATAATTAAACTGTAACAAGAACCAAATCAATATATAACAATGAAGAAAACAAAAATAGTTCCTATTATTGGGTGCTATCAATTTTGTGATAATTTTGTTAATATCAGAAAGCATATTATAGTTCAAATCAATCTATTACTAACCTCTAAAATAAGAGTCTTCAGAAATGGTGTGCACATCAGGAACATCAACAAAATTTCTCCAGCAACATTCCCTAGCTCCAAATGACTCAACATTTCAAATTTAAGAGAACCAGCCACAATAGAACCTTTCACTACTTCAAGAATCTGCAAGACCAAAGACATGGTTAGTATTTTGGAGATCACGTTCATAAACAGTCATAATTAGCAAGATATAAACACCTAATTAATACATTAAAAAAACACGACATTAAGAATATGATTAGATATAACATAGAAGCACTTCACAAATTCTCTACATAAAATAAAGAATATTTTCATGTAGATAAATTTTCAAAAAGTATTTCTAAACTTATATCAGACACTAAATTTTATAACCATTTATCAATATTTAATTAAAAAATAAAAATCAAAGAAGCATACCTCCGAGCGCCGAAACTTTAAACACTGCATATTGCTGTGGAACTGTTCGAGAAGCTTATAAGCAAGGAATGCGGTTTCTTCATTATTCTCACCGTTAAACTTGCCCGGAGAAATATTAGCAGAAGCAATATGTGCAGATGAATCTAACTCTAACGTAAACATGCCTGGTAACATGTAACTACCATAAGAGAATTGAGTAAGACGCGAGGCACGAAACTTGAATTTAGTACGTGACAAAGTAAATGTTGACCAACTTGGAAGTTTCACTGAAAGCACTTTAAGTAGAGGAACTTCAAACGTGACACTCTTAACATTAACCCAGGTGCAGTCTTCTGCCTCGTAAGTTCTGAGAACTGGGAAGTTAAGGATCAACTTTTGCGACCGATTAGAAGGGTCACTAATAAGCGTGACTCCAAAAAACTTGAGAACGGTGAGGGATGAAAGGCAACGAGAGGTGGGAATTCTGATAGAACAATTACGCAATTTCAATTTCTCTAAGTTGGGGGATTCCAAAAAGGAATGCGCGTTAATCTCGAGTTGTACAGTTAAATTCATACACAGCTCTTTGACTCCACGATTTAAAACATCAGATATCCAACGATTAAGAGGGCAAAGATCTTTATAAAAGACAGAAATAGAAAGAGAGAAACTTTGGATGTTGGAAGCATTCAAAGAATGTAAAAGTAAAACCCTATTCACAAACTGTACAAAACGGGTCATTATTTTCTTGTTCATATTATGCCTGTTACGCCAGTGTGAGTCCCTATCCTCAAAGTGTAACATGGTTATGAATTTCCAAAGGTGTTTCCATCTCTTGGATAAAACACAAGTACGAACTGCATATTTAGTGGGAAGAAAAGAGAGAATGTGAGAAATAATGACATCAGGTAGGTTGCTGATTATGTCCTGATCCTTGTAATTGGATTTTTTACGTCTGATAGCCCTTCCGTTCATGTTTGTTTCCACTTCCTGCAAAAGTGAAAAAACATTTAGTTGCATTCTCAAGCAATATATATACACACAACATACATATTCCAACAATGGAAAAGTCTGTAAAAGTTGTTGAAAAATCTTAAATTTCTAGAGATTCCGAAATATCCGAGATATCCGAGATATCCGATTTAAGTTATCTGGAATTATTTGATTTATCTTTTGAGTTATTTTGTTTCAGATTAGATAAGATAGTTTCTTGATAAGTTTTGATTTGATAAGATATTTTATTATCTTCTTGTTAGTTCAGTACGTTGTAAAATGGCTATTTAAAGGTCATCTCTTATTCAATAAAAAATACAGTGTGTTGCTACGTTCACTCACAACATTTGTATTACCTCGTCTATCTTATTTTTTCTACAAATTGGTATCAGAGCTTTATGCTCTGAGTGCCGAGTGTGAGAGAAAAACAGTGTGCGCCTGTAACGCGAGGCACGAAACTTGAATTTAGTACGTGCACACACTGACTTGTGTGGACCAATCTCTCCTGCATCCTTCATAAGGAGTGCAACTAGTAAGTAGCACATGTAATTAAATGGGTTGGTTCTTGTGCTTAATAACTTGCCTACCCACACTAGTTGGATGACCACCATGGTTTCCATACATACACCTCACCTTAGGCTAGCCAACTCCATTTAGTCACATGTCTTGATTTAGTTACCACATTAAGATCTAGAACACATGGGAGCACATAGTCTTGCTTTAGGTTGCACATTTGAATTTGAATTCAAATGTATTGGTGCACCCACCTATCATGGGTTAAGCAACCATTGTAATACCCCGATTTTCAAACTTTATAATAATAATATTTTAAATAAGGAGTGCAACTAGTAAGTAGCACATGTAATTAAATGGGTTGGTTCTTGTGCCTAATAACTTGCCTACCCACACTAGTTGGATGACCACCATGGTTTCCATACATACACCTCACCTTAGGCTAGCCAACTCCATTTAGTCACATGTCTTGATTTAGTTACCACATTAAGATCTAGAACACATGGGAGCACATAGTCTTGCTTTAGGTTGCACATTTGAATTTGAATTCAAATGTATTGGTGCACCCACCTATCATGGGTTAAGCAACCATTGTAATACCCCGATTTTCAAACTTTATAATAATAATATTTTAGAAATTATTTCGGTATTTTAATGAATTTATTAAGGATCTTTGGTATCATTTAATTATTTTGATATTTTAATGAATTTGTAATTATTATTTTCATTAGTGATATAGAATGTATTTTTATGAAATGTATTTATGAAATATTATGCTCATGTTATTTATTAAAAAGGAGGAAAGGTGTTTTAATTATATTATTTTATGAGAAGGGAAGGGAGGATGTAGTAGTCTTTTGCTAATTTATTATTATTATTTATTTTATTAATTGAGAAAAGGGAGTTAAGGAAAGTTATCAAAAGTTACAAAGTCATTTTTCACGCGTATTCACTTTTTTGCTCATTTACTTCTTACGCCTTCTAAAAAACAAGGAGAACCTAGAAAAGAAGAACAATCGGATTCCACTCGTGCCTCATCTTCTGCTCATGAAGGTAAGGAGGGAGGGAGAAACTTCACTTGGGGTGTGAGAATTGTAACATCTCGATTTTTCATACTTTATATAAATAATATTTTGAAATTATTTTGATATTTAATATAGTAGAGTTTTGATATTGTTTAAATAATTATATGAGCTCTATTTTAATATAAAATATGATTTTTAATTAATATTTGGATTATTTGCTATAAGACTATTTTTATGAAAATATGTTTTTATCAAGAATTATATTTATGTTATTTTTTAAAAAGAGGAAATATGTTTAATTATTTTAATTATTTTATGATAAGGGAAGGAGGGACGTAGTGGTCTTTTGTTAAATATTATTATTATTATTATTATTACTATTATTCATTTTTATTATTTTTAAGAAAGGAGGTTGTCAAGAGTTATTTTCACGCTTTTCACTTTCTCCTTTTTTTCTACGCATGTGCTTTGAGGACTCAAGAGAAGCATGAGGAGGAGGTCACTGGAGAATCATACACGCTTTGTCTTCTACTCATCAAGGTAAGGGGGAGTGAGAGACCTCACTTGGGGGTGTGGGAATATATGTGGGTAGTCGGATTGGCCCCCAATCCTTTGCCTGATGTAAGCTTAAACAGACAAATTTTGAATTTTTTCTATTTTGGCTTCTGAGTTTTCTGTTGTGTTTCTTGATGTTTGCTGAGTGTGAATATGTGTTTAATTTCAAAAATAGACAAGTTTTGATATGAATTAGAGTGCTCTGTGAATTCTTGTGAGAAACCCTATGAAGTGAAATTAGAGATATGATCTTTAGATGAATTTTGAGGCATTATATGTAAAATTGATGATGGATTCATGTTTTGGATAATATTTGAAGTGTTTTGACCAATTGAAATATTATATTAACAGGTTGATTGTAGAAAATGCGTGAAATCATGAAGTTGAATCTATGGCCTTTATGCTTCATATGTTATGAATTGCGAATTGAATGGGTATGATGTTGGATAATTTCTTGGTATGATTTATGTACTATTTTGATGTATATGACTGTGAGAAGTTCCTTGTATGAGACTATGTGAATATGACGTGAAAAGTGAACATGCGATCTGTGATATGATATTATGATATGATATTATGAGATAATGTGTCATGGGATATGATGAGACATTATAAGTGAAATGTTGAGTCAATAAAATAGTGAATGTGTGACATGCATCATGTGCATATATGACTCCAAGTGTGCCGCTTAGGCTGCATGCCAATAATGTATTGAGCTATTCCAGGTGTATCTTGAGTCACTAGTGATGTATTTAGTTATTCTAAGTGTGCCACTTAGGCTGCATGCCAGTGATGTATTGAGCTATTTCAAGTGTACCTTGGGTCACTAGTGATGTATTGAGCTATTGCAGGTGTGTTGCTAAGGCCGCATGCTAGTGATGTATTGAGCTATTTCAGGTGTACCTTAGGTCACCAGTGATATATTGAGCTATTCCAGGTGTACCTTTGATCACTAGTGATGTATTAATGAATGAAAGCGTCCTCAGGTATGTTGCTGTAGCAGCATACTAATGATGAGAAATGTGCAACTTTCGTATGGCGCCACATGCATACATTTATGAATTTTGCATGATAAGTGAATGTATGTGTTATGATGTATCTATAACTTAAGAGTTGTGCTTGGATATGTGTAACTTGTGTGGTATTTGTTATGATTGTGTGTGTGTTGCCTAACATTTATTTCTACATTTGAACCAGGGTGAGATGTTTCTTACTCCCTTGTTGCTCTATGTGCATTTTTATTATGTTGCAGGTGATCATCAACATGAGGATATTGGTGATGAGGTTTAACTCTCATTATGGGGTGTGGTCTAATAGGACATGTGACATCGGGGCTTAGTTAGGATTAGCATTGGAGTTTCATTACTGTTATTGTGTTTTGGAAAGATTAATGTTTTATTTTGTCATCATTTCTACATTAGACTACAATTTGTGAAATATGAATGTGAACTTTCTATCTATGTGTTTTGGAACCTTGTTTCAATTAAGAAGGTTTTATTTACTCAGGAATGTACTTTATATTTATTGTGTATTATGCATGTGGGGTAGAGGGTGTCATAGGAATAATTGTTGGGTAGCAGGATTGGGCCCCAATTCCTTGCCTGATGCATGCTTCCAAGAACAGGCTAAATGTGAAAGTTTTCTGTTTGGATGATTGTTATTTTTGTTGTGTTCCTTTTTGAATGTTGAGTATAATTCTATTTTTAATTTCAAAAATAGATAAGTTTTGATATGATTTAGAGTGTTCTGCCGGCTCTTGTGGAAAACCCTATGAGAACAATTAGGAATGTGATCTTATGATAAGAATTGAGGTATTTTATGCGAATTTGAGTATGGATTCGTGTTCTGGGTGTTAATTAAAGTATTTGTACCAAATAAATTGTGTAAATATGTGTTTATATGTGAAAAATCGCGTGATAATGAAGTTTGGGTTTGCAGGTTTGCGACAGGCGCAATTTTTCGCGCCGGGCACAGGAAAGTTGAGCCGGGCTTAGGAAAGTTAAGCTAGGTGCAAAAAGTCTCGTCAAACATGTGTGAAGCTGTGCCAGGCGGATCTCTCCGCTTTAGGTGCAACATTAAATTTTCTGGGCGTGCCAAGCGTGCTGCTCCGCTTTTAATGTGACATTTAATTCATTAGGGGCAAGTTAGGGTGCGCCAGGCGCGACCCCGATTCATGTTTTACATATTTTATATGATTATAAATAGTTAATTGATTGTGTGATGTACAATTATTGATCTGATGTGAATTACGTGCTACTGTGAAACTATTAATGTGAAAACTAATGTGTGTGACCATATGACTTTGACTATGAGAATGTGAAATGTGATGATATGAGATAAGACATGAGATTCAAAAAAAAAAAAACTACAAAGATTTTTATTATAATCAGTGAATGTGAATTTTCGGGTGAAGTGGTAAAAAAATTTAGAAGAAATGAGAAAAATAAATAAAGAGAAACAAAAGTTTTTGAAAATGAATTTTTCATTCAATAATTCATCAAAAGTGATTACAAGAGGTGTGAAAGATTTACAGAGTGAGTTAGCTTGTGGTGCATAAGGATGGCAATAAGATAGGATAGGACAAGTTTTTCAATATTCTCATATCCATCCTTGAGTTTGTACCTTATACTCATCATCATCCCTAATACTCAGAGGGTGTGGAATTTGTATTTCATCCTCGTCTTCGTCTAACACTTGCCCAAAATTAGTTAAATATTATTTTGAAAAATATAAATAAAAAAGACAAATTCCAACATAAAATGGTAAATACAAAAATACATTAATTAAGTTTTATCTAACATAAATTCAAAATAGAGTAAGAATTACATAAATGTTAAGTATATTCTAAAAAAAAATAAACAATCATAAATAATTAAAATTTATGAGGATGGAGACACGTGATGGAATCATGCTTAGGGGTCCAATTTAAAAGAAATCAAGAGGAGTGGGTTAAGTTTGAAAGTAGAAGGCCCAAGCTCATTATTGAGCTTAGGTTGTCTTTTAGTCCATTTCCTTTTACTTGTAAATATTTCTTTGTAATATTGTATTTTATTTTAACCTTATATATTGGGTCAATAGAATATTATTTCCTTGCATTTCTTATTTGGGGTGTAATTAGTAGAATAAGGAGTGCAACTAGTAAGTAGCACATGTAATTAAATGGGTTGGTTCTTGTGCCTAATAACTTGCCTACCCACACTAGTTGGATGACCACCATGGTTTCCATACATACACCTCACCTTAGGCTAGCCAACTCCATTTAGTCACATGTCTTGATTTAGTTACCACATTAAGATCTAGAACACATGGGAGCACATAGTCTTGCTTTAGGTTGCACATTTGAATTTGAATTCAAATGTATTGGTGCACCCACCTATCATGGGTTAAGCAACCATTGTAATACCCCGATTTTCAAACTTTATAATAATAATATTTTAGAAATTATTTCGGTATTTTAATGAATTTATTAAGGATCTTTGGTATCATTTAATTATTTTGATATTTTAATGAATTTGTAATTATTATTTTCATTAGTGATATAGAATGTATTTTTATGAAATGTATTTATGAAATATTATGCTCATGTTATTTATTAAAAAGGAGGAAAGGTGTTTTAATTATATTATTTTATGAGAAGGGAAGGGAGGATGTAGTAGTCTTTTGCTAATTTATTATTATTATTTATTTTATTAATTGAGAAAAGGGAGTTAAGGAAAGTTATCAAAAGTTACAAAGTCATTTTTCACGCGTATTCACTTTTTTGCTCATTTACTTCTTACGCCTTCTAAAAAACAAGGAGAACCTAGAAAAGAAGAACAATCGGATTCCACTCGTGCCTCATCTTCTGCTCATGAAGGTAAGGAGGGAGGGAGAAACTTCACTTGGGGTGTGAGAATTGTAACATCTCGATTTTTCATACTTTATATAAATAATATTTTGAAATTATTTTGATATTTAATATAGTAGAGTTTTGATATTGTTTAAATAATTATATGAGCTCTATTTTAATATAAAATATGATTTTTAATTAATATTTGGATTATTTGCTATAAGACTATTTTTATGAAAATATGTTTTTATCAAGAATTATATTTATGTTATTTTTTAAAAAGAGGAAATATGTTTAATTATTTTAATTATTTTATGATAAGGGAAGGAGGGACGTAGTGGTCTTTTGTTAAATATTATTATTATTATTATTATTACTATTATTCATTTTTATTATTTTTAAGAAAGGAGGTTTGTAATTATTATTTTCATTAGTGATATAGAATGTATTTTTATGAAATGTATTTATGAAATATTATGCTCATGTTATTTATTAAAAAGGAGGAAAGGTGTTTTAATTATATTATCACATATTCCAACAATGGAAAAGTTTGTAAAAGTTGTTGAAAAATCTTAAATTTTTAGAGATTCTGAGTTATCCGAGATATCCGAGATATCCGATTTAAGTTATCTGGAATTATTTGATTTATCTTTTGAGTTATTTTGTTTCAGATTAGATAAGATAGTTTCTTGATAAGTTTTGATTTGATAAGATATTTTATTATCTTCTTGTTAGTTCAGTACGTTGTAAAATGGCTATTTAAAGGTCATCTCTTATTCAATAAAAAATACAGTGAGTTGCTACGTTCACCCACAACATTTGTATTACCTCGTCTATCTTATTTTTTCTACAAATTGGTATCAGAGCTTTATGCTCTGAGTGCCGAGTGTGAGAGGAAAACAGTGTGCGCCTGTGAAGGGGAGGAAAGAAGAAAGAGAGAGTAATGGCGAAGGTTGTTAATGGAATGACCGTACCACAACTGTCAAAGAAAACCAATTATGATAATTGGTGTTTACAAATGAAGACCCTGTTGGGTTCCCAAAGTCTATGGGACATAGTGGAGAAGGGGTACCGAGAACCCGAGGAGGACGAAGACCAATCTGTGGCTCAGATTGCCGCATTGGAAAAGACACGAGTGAAGGACAAATCGGCTTTGTATTTTTTGTACAATGCCGTGGATGAGTCAGGCTTCGAGAAGATTGCAAACGCTGCATCTTCAAAGGAAGCATGGAAGATCTTGGAGGTTGCGCACAGAGGTAACCACCGTGTCAGACAGATCCGACTTCAAACTCTCCGAGGAGAGTTTGAGTGTTTGAATATGGAGGATAAGGAACAAGTATCCGAGTACATAACTCGGGTGGAGAAGTTGGCTAACCAACTCGGAAGGAATGGGGAGCCAATGCCAGCAAGTAGAATTGTGGAGAAAATCTTGAGATCATTAACAGATGATTTCGAGAGTATTGCATGCGTAATACTCTCGAAAAATATTCCTTTGTTTACTCAAAATTAAATTTCACATAGAGTAATAGATGACCAAAAAAATATTCCTTTCCGTTTTTCACTATATTTAAAGAAGAAAAATAATTATTTTTTTTTATGATTTTATGAGTAATTATTATAATTTTAAAATACAATAAAAAGAAAAAAAAAAGAATGAGAAATTATTTGTTAAAAAAGTTAGTTTTAGGAAATTTTAAAAAAATTAGAGAAAATAGTTCATGTAAAAATGGAAACAAAAGAAAGTTACTATATGCCCTTTACATAATAGTATATAATAATGCAGATAATATAAAATATTGTAGATGTTACAAAATACTACTTTGATAATATTTTTAAAATGTTATTAATATGTAAAAATATTACTAAAAATTCTTAATAACAAATTTTATCTTACATTTACTAAAATATCACAAAAACAAAAATGTATTAACGATATTACTAATAATTTAATAATATTTTCTAACATTACCAAAAACACATTTTAGAAGTGACACCAATAAGCTTCGGCTGTATAATAATCTAATAAATTTTATAAAGTGTGCGTGGATTGGATTAGTAAAATTTTACAAAGATATATGACGTTCCATTTAATTAATTTCATTATATTTATTTTGTTATTTAAATGACTGATTTATAATTTATATTAACAAGCACCAGATAATATTTAAAGCGATTTGGATGAAAATGATTTTTATTTTAATCATACTTTTATTTATCTTTAGAGAAAATAGTAATGAAATAGTTGAACGTATTATAAAAATAATTTAAAAGTCAAAATATTTCTTTTACGACCCACCGTAAAGTTAAATAAAAAATAACCATGTGAGACTAGACTACTACACTGGTTTCTAGAATTAGTTGATGAGTAGAGAGACAAAAACCTCTTAATAAATGTACATACAAAATCAATTGCCTTTGTTTAGAAAAGGTAGGAAATTTTAATATTCATTTGAAAATAGGATAAAAGATAATAGAACTAGCTAGAATTTTTTTTCCAGTTTCTGATTTTATGCGAAAAAAATTGTAGTTACTAAAAGTTTATAATTTTTTAAATTTTTTTTATAACTTAAAGGTACGATGATTAATAAAATGTAAATATCAAAATTAGTTATTATATAAAATATTTCCTAGTATAAATAATATTTTTTTTATTAGTGTCTTATTATATATATATATATAAATGTTTATGTATGTAGCATTAAAAATTAAATGTACACAATTTCAAGTCACAAAAACAATATTATAGTAAAATATATTTTTTATAAATAAGTACGACTTATATAGTAATAAGATTTTAAAAAAATTCAGTACTAGATAAACTTATGCACTAAGAGCATAAGTATGAGATACACAATAAGCAATAATTGACATCGCAGACTTTACCTAAAAAATTGCCTCCAACTGCAAAACACAAAAGAAAATGCCTGCTATTTCGTAAAAACACAAGAAAAAAATAATAAATGAAAATTGAAACTTTAAATTAATAAAAAATCTATAAACTCAAATCTAACACTTCTCTTAAAAGATGATATCTTCTTCTTCACTTCTTCAAATTTCACCTGGGCAATGTGCAGAGACCTAACAGCTGAGAAACTAGCTCTCTTCAAGACTAGAGCATTTTCCATTACAAATTTGATGAAACGTAGTTCTTGCTCATTACCATCAAAATGTCCAAGTTTTAGCACTTGAAGGTTAGATATAAAACAAAATGGCACGTTATCAGGGTTCGAGAACTCTTCGTCAAATTCAACTACCTGGTGTTCAACAAAAATAATTAGTTAAATTGTATCACAAGGAATCAAATAACATAACACACATAAATTAAAACATTATAATTAAATTAAAAAAAAAAACAGTAGTTATCACAAGTTTCTTTTGGGAGGATATAGTTAACAATTTATACATAATATTTAATTTTCTTAATGTATTAAACATGGCTCACGCATTATTTTAAAGTTATCGAGTAAAGACAAACTTGAGATCACATAATTAATCACTATACCAAAATTTATGTATTATGTGATCTTAAACTAATTTTTTCTTGACCAGTCAAAATTACAATAAAAAATAAGTTTTTTTAATGTTAATTTATACATTAGGATCTTATAAATAATAATACAACACTTTCTACTACGCCGAAACTAGTACATCGATTTGCTACATTCAATCAATATTACCAACCTTAAAAATTACAAGGGTCTCAAGAAATGGTGACTTTTGAAGAAAGTCCAACAAAACTTCACCAGTAACTTCACGAACAAGCTCCAGACGATTCAACATTCCAAAATCATCAAGATCGGTCAAAGCAGGAACACGGACGGGAGATAGATGATAATCATACATGTTCTACAAAATCCGACAAACAAACACTCATAAAATAACAGAAGACAATCGATATAGCAATAGCAAAGTAAAATGTTCCTATATTTTTAACCAACAAGGAAATATATTCATATCATTATTAAATATCATTGCAAACCAAGAGCAATGAAATAAAGCATATATACCTTCGAAACCTCAAGCTTTAAACGTTCGACATTGTTATTAAATTGTTTCAGAACTTCACAAGCAAAAGTGGCCATGTTTTCCTCGCTGTCTTCGCTCAACTTGATCAGATGAATATTCGCAGCAACAATTCGTGCTGTAGATAAGTCTAAATCTAACAAAACGGTGTATCGTAACACAAAATCACTATAAGTGAAATCATTAAGACGAGGGGCACAAAACTTAACCACAGTGTGCGACTCATGGGGTTTCGACACAAGTGTGTGCTTTATCAAAAGCACTTCAAGTAGAGGCACTTCAAAAGTAACACCACCCTTTACGTTTAACCAAGAACAATTTTCTGCCTCATATTTTCTAAGAACTGGGAGGTTAATCAGCTTTTCCGAGTCATTAAAAGTTTTGCAGGTAAACGTGATTCCAGATAGTTCGAGGACAGTGAGGTATGAAAGTGAAACAATAGTGGGAACTCTTATATCACAACCATTCATCTTCAGCACCAATATCTCTAAGGACATGGTTTCCAAAAGGGAATGCGATAAAAATTTGTATTTTTTACTTGAATGGATATAAATCTCTTTGACTCTCCGATTCAAAATATCATGTATCCACTTGTTAACATGGTAAGAAGAATGACTCTCATAAAGGGTAAGAGAGAAAGTTTGGATGCTTGAAGTAATGAGACGTAGTATCATATAAACAAAGTTTTGAAAGTCACTTTTTCTTATCTTTTGCCAAGAGTATTTTTTTCTATCCTCAAATTCCAGCATGGTGATGAATGTCCAGAGGTATATCCATCTCTTGGATAAAATTCTAGTACGAACTGCTTCTTTAGTTGGAAGAAAAGAGAGAATGCGACCAACAATGAAGTTGGGTAGGTTGCTGATTATATCTTGACCTTCTTTATTGGATTTTCTCCTCTTTTTAATATCACTCCCTCTATTTGCGTCCATCTTTGCTTGGAATTCCTGCAAAAAATCGAAAACAATTAGCTAGCTATACACAAACAATAAAGTATATATATAAAGTAATCTAAAAATTAAATCATCAATGTTTGAACATGTTGTAAACCCTACTTTGGGTCTCAAATTGCAAAATGTGAAGCCATGAAAATGTGAAATGTTAGGCTGTGTAGGGTTTAGACAAGTGAGAATTTCAGCTATTTATTTGGATGGAGAGATGGTGAGGATTCGCGAGGAGTAGATTAAAGATCATGACTGTTTGGATTCCACTACAGTGCCTGTATAATTAGTTAAGTTAATTACCACTGAACTCAAGAGACACCGATGGTAGTTAGAACTTAAAAGGCGTGTGAATTAATGAGCATTATCTATATGTTTTTATTGAATCCACAAGTATGACTCTTCAAAACAAAAACATCTTCAAACCTCTTAGTAAACCGTGTTTGGATTCTACAGTATTTTTTTTTAATTTTTTTCATGAAGATAGTCTAAGTTGGTCAAACATTATATTTTAACACGGAGATTAATTATAAGTATACTAGGAGTCTAGGTCCACATGCCCTTGTTAATATAAGTAAAAGTAATTAATTTATATAATAATTAAACCATAGTAATTTTTATTAAATTCAATTGGAAATAATTTTCTGTACATTATTTTTTTAATTAAATTTGATAAAAAAAAATATATTAGAAATATAATATAAAATAAAAAGTATTTTGGAAATAATATTATTAAATAAAAATTAATTAGGATTCTTTTTATTTTGATTATCATTTATGATAAAAAATTTTACTTGTATTTAGATTTGGATGAATTAATATAAGGCTATATATAAATGATAAGCTGTATTAAATGAACTGTTAATCTCGTAATTGAATAAAAATATACATATGAATCTCTAGCAATACGTGAATATACGTCCGACTACTTCAGCTCATTTTTTCTTCTTCTTAATATTGTATTTTTTTATTAAAAAAACTGAATGAATAAACATACCCATATATATAATATGAAAGTACTTCAACACTCATTTTATTAAGAGAATAACCTGTAACAATATGATTATTACGTAATTAGGGATAATAATAGGTATGATTCTATAATATTGTAAACATACTTGTATTTGAAAATAATGTTCGTATATATTGAGGTAGTAACTTCGATCCCTTTTTTCTATTGGATATTTAGATACTTAAATTTAAATTGTAACTCGCACTTTACTAATATATATATATAAGAATGTTAATATACTTTTATCTATTTTTTAATGGGAATATATTAGTAATTTATACTAAAATTTTAGAATAAAAAAATCACTTATTTATTTTTTAATTTGATTAATTTGTATAAAAGATATTATGGTAATCTAATTTAATTTTAAATGAAAAAAATATTTCCTTTTTGATTTGGTTAATTACGTTATCGGGGGAGGTTTTGTTGACTATTCCCACTTCAACTAGTTGCTTTGGGGACTGCTCTTGCTCTTACTGTTGCTTCCTATGCTTCCTACTTTTGACTACCTGTCTTTCCCTCATCTTCGATGGGTGTTTAGTGTTTTCAAAGAAGAGGGATGGGGCTCGGAGGGTGAGATCGCATGAGGCACAGTCCACGAACACAACCATGGAGTTTGCGTGATCGAGGATGATGAAGACGGTGCGCACGTCTAGGCGGGTGATGATGATGTTGAGAACGGCACCGACAAAGGGGATGGCGAAGTGGAGCTCGTATTATGTAATTTCTTTTTACTATCGTGTTTCTTTTTATTGTTATTATTGTGTTTCTTTTTATTATATAAAATATATGGACTTTTAATTTAACAGTTAGATTTTCAAAATTTACGATTAATATAAAGTTATTGAGCGGTGTAACACTTAGTAAAAACTATACTGGTATTACTTAAATCTTTCTCATTTTTTTAATATTTAATATTTCTTAACGTATTATAATAATTGTGTGATTTTTTTATTCTTTTATTTATATTTATATATTATTCATAATAATTAAATTTTTTATAATCTATCAAAGAAAGTGTAGTATGATGGATTGTTGAAAAGTGTAGTTTGAGTTTTCAAAAAGTATAGATGTTTATAAGTAATTTCTACTGAAGCAAAAATTGTAAAAATGTAATATGAGTTGCTTATGAGTGATGTGGCAGAGTGAGACCCATGAGAATTACTTATAAATAACTTCCATTATAGATGCTCTGAAAATAATTATTTTTGTTTTTCAATTTCCCATTTAAAGATCCCTCCCTATTTGTAGGTTGTAGCTCACATGAGAAAAGAAAGTGGTGTCGTCTATGGTGTGACATGCCCCTGTCCAATGCTTTGTTGGAGAAATTTTAAATTTTTATAATTATATTTTAAGTTTAAATATGTTTTTAATCTCTTAAATTTAAGATAATTTTATTTTTGATCCTTCAAATTTAAAATTTTTATTTTTAGTCTTATAATTCTTAAAAATCTTGTTTTAGTCTATCAGTTTATCAATAATATATTTAAAAGTGACAGATTGAGATAACTGTATAAATATGTGTTGATATTATTATTTTAGTCACATACTTTTTTCCAATTTTGGATTAAAGTTAGTAATGTTTTAAACTTATAAAAACTTTTTTTCTTTATTTTTTATACTTTAAAGATTAAAGTATACACTTTTAAGAATGCAATTGAGATTTTATTCATCTTCAAATAAAAAAACATATTTTTAATAAAATAAGTATTTTTTATGTATTTATCTAAATTTTATTTTTTTAAAAAAATTTAGGTTAAATTAATCTATTGATCTTTATAATCTTGTCAAATTTTTAATTAGGCCTCTATTTTTCAACACACTCTAAAAATATCCTTATAGTTTAAAAATCTTGTAGTTAAATCTTTTCATCAGCTAATGTTGTTAAAATTCCGTTAGTTTATGCTAACCAAATATTATGACATAGTAATTAATTTTTAATATGGTAATTAGTTACCTTTTAATTTTCATTTATTTTAAATGTTTCTAATATTATCTCTAATTTTAAAATGTTACTTTTTTTTTCTTTCGCACTAGTATTTTAAAATTGTTACTACTAGAATTTTTCTTAATACATGCGACTTTTCCTGCGAATTTTTATGAAAAATTCGCAGGAAATGTTGTTCCTACAAATTTTTCTGCGAAATTTTATCTGCAGGTAATACCTTCGTGGATAATATACTTTTGCGAATTTTAAAATTTGCAGGAAATATTCCTGCGAAATTTCTTGCAAAAAAAATTTGCAGGAAACTTTCTTGCAAAAAAATTACAGGAAAATTTCTTGCAAAAAAAATTCGCAGGAAAGTTTCCTACGAATTTTTTGCAAGAAATTCTGTAGGAATATTTTTTACGGAAAAAATTAAAGAAATTACTATAAATTTTATCAATAATTCTTCAACTTTCAAATTCTTACAATGAATTCATCCGAAGCATTTATTTCCATGCCTCCAACATGTGATACATAATCTTTTAAATTCTAAGATTGTAGATTATAAACCTAACACTCAACCATATAAATCAACTTGTAAGATAAGTGTTGCCTCATTATATACTATTTAATTGTGTTTATTTTTAATCGATGTTGGACTTGAAGTTTTTTTAAAATATTAAACTTATAAATTTAAATATTTTTTATTTTTCCTGCGGATTAAAATTTGAAGGAAAATCTGCAGGAAAAGTTACTTGCAAAATTTTTCGACCATTTAGTAAACATGGGAATTTATTTTTACAAGAAAATCTGCAAGAAACAAAATAAAATTTTTTTAATATTTTCTGCAAATTTTTACCATGAAAAAAAATTTCTATGATTATCGAAATTGTAGCCAAATTTGTAAGAAATATCTGTAAATTATTTTTTGCAAATAAATTGACAAAAAATTTCTACAAATATTTTTTTGCAGGAAAATAACACTTTTCTAATAATGTGTCTTAGGCTAATCTGTCTTAATCTAGAATTAATTTAAATTTGACTATTGATTATTTTTTATAATAATTGTATGCTGCTCAAATAATTTAATCCTAAATTCTAAATAATTTAACCTTAAATTTAATACATTAACCACTTCTATACGGTTGCACCAAATTTCTTAGTTTAATATGTTAATTATTACATAAAAACTTCCTTTAACATTTATATTTAAATTATATATTTCAGTTTTTGAACTCTAATATTTTTCAATTTACATTTAAACCCTAAAATGAAATATAACTTAAATATAAACGTGAAAGGAAATTTTAGTATAATTAACATATTAAAATCAGGGATTTAATTAAAAACATTTAAAATAAATAAAATAAAAAATAATTAATTAGGTAAATTATTATATAGCAATACTTAATCAGCATAAATTAATAAAAATTTACCAACATTATTAAGTGATATTTTTAAAGTATAAACATGTTTTTAAGTGTATTTTAAACTGTAAAGACCTAATTATTTTAACAAAATTACATCCAACGATAATTTAATTTAATTTAATTATTTTTTAAGAAGCAATTCTCATCTATTTATTTAGAAAATAATGTTTTATAACCATTTTCTTTT